AGTTTTCCATGATTCATTGTTTGTGCATAACACCCAGTGCTCCACGCAGAACGTGCCCTCTTTAATACCCATCACTAGGCTAACCCATCCCCCCACCCCCCTCCCCTCTAGAACCCTCAGTTTGTTTTTCAGAGTCCATCGTCTCTCATGGTTCGTCTCCCCCTCCGACTTACTCCCCTTCATTCTTCCCCTCCTGCTATCTTCTTCTTTTTTTTCTTAACATATATTGCATTATTTGTTTCAGAAGTACAGATCTGTGATTCAACAGTCGGACTTATTCTTAATTAGTCAAGACCATTTAAGACTTGGAGTGGAATCATCAGAAGCCAAATTGTCTTTTTCAGCTGATTTTTATGTACTCTTCTTATGCAAATGATGTTAAAATATAATAGTCAAAAATAAATTCTAATGCACTATCTCAGAAATATACAAATAATAGGAAAAAATTAGCTAACAGGAACAGAAAATAATAGGACTCCAAGAGATTTTATAGTGTTTTTAGACACATGTGGAGCCCGTATGGAGAGTTATAATGGCGGGCGGGAGGGGGCTGCTAAATGAACCGGGTTCCTACAGTGAACCCAGGACTGCTCAGGAGCCTGAGATGCAAGAACGCTGAGTAGAGAGCGGGAGGTCTCCTGGACAGACTTTGAACTGTGAAGCTCTCATGGACATAGATGTCCTTAGCAAAGCGCTACAACTAGGGCTGCCAAATTTAGCAAATAAAAATACAAAAGACCCAAATATTGCAGGAAGCATACTGACACTAAAAAATTATTTGTTGTTGGTCTGCAATTAAAATTTAACTGGACAGCTAATATTTTATCTGGCAAACCAAGCTGCAACCCAAATGACATTAATATCTTTGAACCTGATATTAGTGGCTCTAGGGTATTTTGGAGAAAAAATTAGCATTGGCTTTCTGACTATAACCAACCAGAAGAGTTTAAGGCCACAAGGAAACTGGTGGTAGATTGCCATCTAGTGGAAATTTTGTGATAGTGACGGCTTAAATTGGAAGGATAGGCTTTTTCCTGGAGTCTTCAAGGAAGGATTGTGCTCTGGCCCTGTGCAAAGCCCTGAGGTTGCTGCGCAGCGGCGGGGGGGGGGGGGGGGCGGGGGGGGGGGGGTGATGATGTCAGGAGGACAAGGGTGCCACGAGGTAGGAGGAATGCTGAGATGCGGCCGGCCCCTTGATCTAAGGAGAGGAGCACCTGACCTTGGCTCTCCAGAATGCACACTTTCTCCTGCATTCCAGCCAAAACCAAAACAAAAGCCAGGGCTAACTGTAAGAGGCACCATATCCTTCCAGATGAGGATGGCTCAGACGGATGTGGAACTATGAAAAATATGTTTCTACAGATGTGATCACAATTATAATGAACGAAAGAAGTCCTGCAAAAGGTAACGGAGTGGCTACAAGTTCAGATTTTAAAAGGACTGAAAAGACGTAAATATTAAAAGGCAGACATTCTGGAATTCCAAGGATAATCTCTCTAAGTGTGAAACCCAGAAGCAGTTCCATGCTGCAAAACATGCTAAAGTCCACTACTAACACTAACATTAGCCATGATGACAGTAAACCAAATTGGGAACAGGAGGGACAGGGAGAGGACAAACATACTCCTTGAGGCAGATGTTGTAAGGTCAACATGTAATACAGAGAAGGCAGAAGCACTTGACTCTTATTGTAGCTGGTCTTCCCCAGAAAGAATGATATTCCAGAAATTTAAAAACTTGGACCAAAAACATAAGGCGATCTTAAAACCCAAACACAGTCTTCTAGCCGATTTAAATAATTCTAGATTTTTTTTCTGGAGTAGAACAGGAGAGGATCTCGAGGATTTAATAGAAGCAATTATCCTAATTTTTAAAGGCATGATTTGTAGAAGCCAAAGAATAAGTTTAATGTGTAATTGTCATAAATTTCTAGAAGAGACTATTGAAAGATGTTAGATAAAAAGTAATCGTGAAAGACAATCAGTGTCTCCTAAGATAAGCCATTCCAAACTAATCTTATTTACTATGTTGTTAGGTTTACAAGAATATCAAATCATTAGAGTGCTATGAAGAGAATATGTTTTGATTTTAGTGAGCCATACAGCACAGTTTTTTCCCAAAATGTGTTTTCAAAATCCTGGAGATAACAAAGGATGGCCCTGGATGATAGTATAGTTGAGGATTTTTAGCCAGTTTAACTTTCAGCCCAAAAATGTGCTCATTAAGGGAGTATTTTCAAGAAGGGATGTCAAAATGTTCTGTAATTACGTGTTTACTAATGATGATTATTAAATCGAGAAAACATACTGATCAAATTTGCAGAGAGCAAAATTGCAAACAAGGTATAGCAGGATTCCAAATCATCTTAACAAACTCAATAATGGGCTACAATTAACCAAATGAGACTGAACAATGTATATTTTTGTCTATTTAGATTCAAAAATATCAATTCTCCAAATACAAAGTAAGAGAGAATGATTTTAAAACAGTTTCTATTAAAATGACCTAGGGGTCATAGCTGACCATAAGTTTGGGACCAAGAATGGGGACCAAGTGGCTGGGGGAAAAAAAAATCCAATTCCTCTCCAGACAACAATAGAAGAGTGTCCTTTCTGAGGGAGGGGACAGCCACACTGTACAATGCAGTGGGCCAGATTGCATTAAAGTCAGGTTCAGTTCTGGCACCCTCTTAAAAGGAATATCCATAAGGTCCTCTTCATCTGAAGAGAGGCATGCAAGCTGGTAAGGAGCCTAGAGAGCAAGCCACGGGAGGGCAAGGCTTAGAGGGATGACACACGGTCCTCAGATTTTTCGATAGTAGATTTATTCTTTGTAAGCACATGGAAAGCAAAACTCAGATCAATTAAACAATAATGACTTCTTCCTAGCAGAAGAACTCAATAATAATTAGAGCTTTCAGAAATTCTGTGGCCGCTTGTGTAGGCGAGTTAGCCCGCCACCTCTGTCACCTGCAACTGGAAAATCAAGACTCAGTGATCATCTGTGGTGGCATAGAGGAGACTCTGGGGTTTGTCAGGAGGTTGGACTTGTCAGCTTGTCAGTTTTCTTCTGCCTCTAGGATTCTACACTTCTAATAACTTTTCACCATTTTCTCTGTTTGGTCTATCATTTCTTAGTTCTCATTTTATTTTTAGTCCGCCATTAGAATATGTAACGCTTTTTAGCCAAGTGTTGCAGGTAGGCATAGACCTTTTTTTTTTTTTTAAAGATCTTATTTATTTGAGAGAGAGAGAGAGTGCACCAGCAGAGGGGAGGGGCAGAGGGAGAGGGAGAAGCAGGCTTCCAATAGGGAGCCTGACACAGGGCTCGATCCCAGGGTCCTGGGATCATGACCTGAGCTGAAGGCAGATGCTTAACCGACTGAGCCACCCAGGCACCCCAGGCATAGACCTTGAAGTCCATTTCCCTCCAGTTCTTGGCTTTAGATGTCAACACTGTTGCATTTGCTCCATACTCCCTTGCTTCTAATCTGAGTGGCAGGAGCCCGAACCAATTAAGAGCTGGTAGGGAAAATACCCAGCCACCCACAGGGCTTTGAAAGCAACAGAACATCATGGTGGCTTTTGGAAAGAGCGGAACAGTAGCATGTGATTGACCGGTGAGAACCCTCCATCTTTCCCCCTTATGTCTGCTTTTAGGCTGCTCATGCCATGACCTTATGGGACAGAATGTGAAAACAAAAGAAATTTGTGAAATGTATACTTTAAAAGACCCAGATATGTATAACACAAGTCCTTTCATATTTCAATGTACACATTCTAATCCCTAAATTAAGGCTGTTGATGCCTGACTGTTATGATCCTCGAGTGGCAGGAAGGGATGACCACTAGGACAGCAGAGCAGAGCTACCCTTGGTCCATAAAACCCTACAGAGATGCACACATAGGTGTTCTTGTGTAACCAAGAAGTTTCTTCTCCATTTCCAAATATTTTGCCGAAATCTTTAGTTCTTATGAGTCATGACTAGAACTATTATGACGAACATAAGTTAACAACTACTTAATACAAATTTTTTTGGGGAAAAAGTGTATTTTTCAATAATCATAGCATTTGGAGGTCCAGAATGGTACAGACATACACACTTACCAAATGCAGTGATGTAGTTTGAATCAATGGCCCTGAAATCCTAGCTATTTGGGCACTGTAGGGCCATCAGATGTGGGGTGCTAAATATTACACACACACACACACACACACACACACACACACACACACACACATATATATGAACATTCTCTTCTTGGTGCTCCCACTCCTCATTCCTACACCTCTCCGCGCCCCCCCCCCCAAAAAAAACCCAGAGCTTTGGAAGAATGAGTTGTGGTTCACAATGCTTAAGACTTGACCTAAAATATCCCTGAGTGTCTCTTGTCATCCTATCCCTACAGGGGATTCCAGGGAGAGGTCCAGGCTCAGATTTGCTTAGGCTCAGTCCTGAGTTTGGAAATAGAACATGATTTAATGCCAGGACCAAAGACAAGGCCCAAGATGCCTGAGTTCTCCCCCAGCAGGAGAGATGGGCCCATGGAGGATGCCAGGCTCCACGAGATCATGCCAGAAGGAGAACTCGCCTGGGATAGCTAGCACTGCATCCAGCAACTGGTCAGCTGAGTGGAAGGCAGTGAAAGAAATGCAGCTTTTAATTAGTGAGTGGGGAGACACATAATTACTGAGAGAAACCCAAGAGTAAACTTGTTTACTGCTTACAACAGACACTGGCTCATTTGTCTGGCAAGGAAAGGAAACATAAACTTACAAAGAATTCAGAAGTCATAGGGACCATTCTCTCTCTCAGGGCTGCCATACAGGGGTGTGGAGGAAACGGTGGGGCTGGCCCTCATCCTTCTCAAATCAGGTCCGGCAAGGTGAGCCCACAGAGGGGGGAACGTCTGACTTCCACCCCAGTCAACAGAGTCCACAGTCCTTCCTAACACTGCTGTCTCCTCTCCCACCCACCTTTCCACTCCTTGGCACCACGACTAGGGGCCACAGCTGTTCTTGTCTTCCTCTCGGACCTCCTGGGGCACTGAGGGCTCCTCCACAGAGGTGGCAGGCTGCTCCTCTTGGGCCTTGCCAAGGAAGGGCCCCGTTCCTGGTCTGGCCGCTTCGGGCAGCTGGGTGGCACCTGGTGAAGGCTGCCTGCTCACAGCCGGAGCGTAGGGGGCTGGGAACAGATCCGGGAAGAAGCCATCACCTCCGGGGGGCTGCCCCAGGGCTTGTGGACAGAAGGGACCAGAGAAAGGCAGTTCTGGCAAGCAGAGGTCATTCCAAGGGGCCGTACCTGTGGAGTCAGAGTGCAGGAAAGATGAGACAGGATTAAGGGTACCCACCAGAGCTGAACATACCCTGTGACACACTCCCCGCCGCCTCCCACAGAAACACAGCTTAGGAACCCAGTGCGGGTGAAGTACTAGCACCAGGAGCTCCCCCACAGGACCGGGTGTGCTCCTGACTCGAGGTTCTGGGGTTTGGTAGCATCGACACAGAGGGGCCTGTGGGTCAGGCCAGTGCCCCCTCTCGCGGGCAGCAGGGAGACCCGGAATGGACGGCACACGTCTTTCCTTGCTTCTAATGGAATTTAGTCTTACTATGATGGTTGCGCCCAGATTTCAGAGGTCCGGGTGGCCTGTCAGAATGCTCAGGTCAGCTGCCATTTACTCTGTGTATTTCCCTCATACTGTTTCTCCCTATTTTTTCAAACCCCCAGCAAGTCCCTCCCTGCTAGAAGAATACTATTCCCATTTTAGAGTCCGGGGAAACTGAGACCCAGCAAAGCTGGGAACGGCTGAGCTGGACTTAAAACTCCAGTTTTTGTAACTCTGCTCTGCAGCTCCCCAAAGAGACCCAAAGAGCTTCGTAGAGCCAACCAGGGCCACGGAGAGGGGATGCGCTCACCGCCTGCCGTTCAGCCAGGGAGGCTCCCTGCCCCTTCTCACCTTCCTCGGTCACAATGGGCACCTTCTCTTCCAGCCCCAACTCACCCACGTTCCCAGCAGGTGGCTGCAGCACCATCTGCCCCGATGGGGGGCCGGGGAAGTAGCCCTGAGAGGGACCCGCACTGGGGCCGTAAGGTGATGTGAAGAGGGAGTCATCCGGCAGCGGAGGCATCAGGGAGTGGGGTGTGGGGAAGGGGAAGGGGTGCAGGTAGGAAAACTGGGGCTGAGGTGGTTGGTAAAGCTGGCTTTGCGGAGCCTGGGAGAATGGGAATGGGCCTGGCTGGGGGCTCTGCTGGTAATCCTGGGGTTCCAGTTCTTCCAGGTATGAACAGGTGGATGGTGGGGTGACACTGTGGGGGACAAAGGAGTATTTTGTGAGGCTCAGGGGTAGCTTCCTCCCTGTGACCACACAGTAGGTGAGTCCCTACCCGTATCTCCATGACCCCAGACTTGCCTCTTCCCCTTCTTTCTCTTTCTGTTCCTGGCTTCTCACCTTCTTTCCTACTTTTTTGCTGGGATAGTCTAGACCTTTCCCACCTCGAATCTATGTAAGCTTTTAATCCTCATCACAATTAGGACTCCTTGCTTCTCTCAGCTAACCCCCCCTCCACCCCGCTAGATCTATCTTTTCTCCTTCTATACCCTCCCAAGATAACTCAGGTGACCACCCCTTCAGGCTCCATACCTTGTCCCCCAGGACCCACAGGGGCCATCTTTGTGACTGTTGTCACTGCCAGGAGTATCCAGCAGCAGAGGCATCGTTTGGGGGGTAAGGACAGGGCCCAGGGGAAAAGGAAGGTTGACTCTTCGAACAGGTGGGGGGCTGAAGAGTGGTGGGGTCACTGCCACCCTTTGAGTATTCTCACTCTGTTCGGTTGGGGCCAGAGTCTGGTCAGAGGTCAGCAGCATGGGGGGCTCTAGGAACCAAAGTCAAAGAGGGTTACAAAGCTAAGAAAATGGGGAGGCAGATTTGGGATTATGGATGGTGTGCCATGCCCAGTTCCCCTTGAATAGGCCCCACTGGACCAAAACCCTAGAGATCACTGGCCCACCTTCCCATCTATCTAGAAAGGACTCTCTTTCCAGCTGCCATTCCCCACCCCACCCCCCCACCCCCACACACATAACCCTCAGAAGATGGTCAGCTTACCTGTAAGAGTATCTAGAGGGGACTCCTGAGGGAAGGTACCAGGCTCTGGGGCCAGGGACACAGAAGGTGGCAGCTCAGTTGCCGAGCTGGAGGCAGGCAGAGTGAAGACTGTAGCCCTAGTGTCCCTAGATTTAGACCAGGGCTTCAGTGCAGGGAAAGGGACACCAGAGTCCCAAACACTGCCTTCCTGCAAGACCCTGGCAACTTCCCGACCTCCTCCATCCAAAGTCTCTCTAAATATCAGCCAAGAATTCCAGCCCTCATGGCCAACTTTCCAACACTCTCTCCTTCTAGATCCCAGGAGCCCAGCTTAGAGCCCACTTCCTACTTATGGGGATGATATCCAGGAAGAGAAGTTCTACCTGCACTGACTGCTGGCAGGGGTAGGGGCAGGGCCTGCAGGACTGCCCTTGTTCTCCTTCCCATTCAGCTTCTCCACTTTTCGCCACTTTGCCCGGCGATTCTGGAACCACACCTGTAGGGGAGAGACCCTTGAAGAGTTCCAGAAGCTTGGCAGAGACTATGACTCAGGCTCTGATTGTTGCACAATGAGCTGGATGACTTTAGGAGGTCACTTTACCACTTGGCTTCTGATGCCTTTCTCTGCAAGAATAGTTTTATGACAAGATTCATCTAGATAGCTCCGAGGTATTTTCCTCTTCTAATCTGGGGCGGTAGCAACATGGAAATAGGCAGGAACACAGCCAGATCTAAGACCTAACCTCGGCCCCTAAAGGGAGATGCTGAGCACTTGCTGTGCTCAAAAGTTCCAGCTGGTGGTTTCTCCACCACCCTGAGACCCGTTGGCCAACGCCATTTACCATGATTCGTTGGGGGGTGACCCCCACCGTCTGGGCAATCTCCCGGCGCTTATCGCTGTCTGGGTAGTGGTCTTCTTGAAAGATCCTTTCTAGCTCCTCCAGCTGGTCTGGAAGGAGAAGAAACTTGCATGAGGACAAACAGTGATGTGGCAGCAGAGGAGAAAGACAGATGCCTTCCAGACAAGACCATTGTCCCCAACCCAAGGGTCTTCCCAGAGCCTTGCAACTAAGTTTCCCATTGGGCTGGAGCCTTCTCTCGCTCTCCTGGGCTTTGTGGCAGGGAACTGTGTGGTGTTTACTTTCCTGCTCTTTCTAACGTGGTCCCAATATCACTTTCTGATGAGGCAACCCATTGAGGGTCACAGGGTGTGGCCCTGCCACAGGTCAAGAGAGGATTCAGGACAAGGGGATGTACAAATTACCCACACTGTAATCTCCTGGGGCTACTGTGTTCTCTGTTGAGCCCACATTTCCCAGAGATGACACCAGCTCTCTTAGATTGCCTCTCACCTTCAGGGACTTACCTGAGCGGTATAGGGTCCGAGTCTTTTTCCGAACTTGGCAGGTCACTTCCGGGGTCCTCTTCTGATCTGTGTTTTGGCTGTTCTGAGCCAATGTGCTGAGGAGGTTGGCCAGATGGCAGGGCCCCCGGCCTGACCCACAAGGCACTAGGTTGTGTGTGGCATGGGCCAAGTTAATGACACCAGGAGATGATGCGGAGGCCAGACCCCCGACACTGGGCGTTTTCTGCTTACTGGAGGCTGGAGAGTAAGACCTCTTCCCTGGCTTTGCCTCTCTCACTGGGAAGGAACAGCCTTCCTCAGGAGGCTGGGGTCTAGGTGGGGCCATAACTGTGTCTCTGTGGAGAGTCCCAGAGCCAGATGGCTGGCTCACCCTCCCAGTATCTGCCCCAGCTGGTTCTCCAGGGGCCTCTGATGGCGGCTTCTCCCCAGCAACCCGGCGGGAGGGGGGCAGTTCCTCACTTGGGGCATCCCGAGTGTGGGGGGCTGGACTCTGCAGCAGTTCCTCCTCTGGCCCAGCAGCCAGAGGCTTGCCTCCACCTTCCTGGCCTGTGGGGAACAGCACCCACTGACCTCAGCACCAGGGAGAAGGAAGAGCCTGGCCTTAGAGGACGTGCTGCTTCCTGCTCTGCCCCCAGTTTCCCGTTTGGCCTCAAGCTTTCATTGTCCACTCGACAAAGAGGGTAATAATTCTGTTTACCGTTCTTGCTTGGCTATTGTAACCATCGAATTAGATAATCCACTGCTTTGAAAAATGTGAGCAGATATATGTTTCCCCCGCCCCAGACTTACCCCCAGGAATGTGAGTCAAGGGACAGGAATCTGTTCAGGCATTTCTAAGGGACAAACGGTGAAGCTGGGAGTGCACTGGGAGAGAGAGATCTGAGAGTCTGCTGTTTCTAAGACTGGATCTTGTCCCTGCGCAGACAGAGGCATTACTGCTCAGAGCAGGGACGAAGACAGGCTGGCTGGTGGTATGAGGAAGGAGAGCGGGCGGGGGACACTTTGGGTTTCCAGCAGTTTAGGCGAGCTTGTAGCCTAGCGAACCTGGCACGTAGTAGGTGCTCAATGACTGTGACATATCAGAGTGCTAGGCCTTGGTAGGAAAGGGGACGGGTGTCGGAACCCAGAGGAGAAGGGTCCTGGGGCTCCCCGGTCGGCGTGCAGGGAGACGGGAACCTCAAGGATGGAGGGCGCACGGTGCCGGGCCTCCCTCACACCCCGCAGCACCGCCAGCCCCTCGGCCCACCCCGACCCCGAAGTCACCCGCCCCGGGGCCGCGTGGCCAGGGGCCGCCCCGCCGGCGTCAGCCTCCCAAGCCCGCCCCACGCTCACCCCGCGGTTCCGGGCAGGGCTCCTGGGTGGGTTCCATGGCCAGGGCTCACGCAGCCGCCGAGACCGGCGGGGCTGCCCTCGCGCGGCCTAATGAAGCCTCGCCGGCGGGCAGGTGTGCAGGGGCCTCCCGGGCCCTGGGGAGCCCGAGCCCGCGCCCCTCACCCCGCCGCCAGGGCGAGGCCCACCCGGGCGGGAAGCGCGTGGGGCAGCTGCAGGGCCGCGCGGGCCTGGGGGCCGCCCCGCCCCCTCGGGCCCAGGTGTGCGGCCCGCCGCCCCTCCCCTCAGCCGCAGCTCCCGGAGCAGGGCCGGCCGGCCTCCTAGGGCTGGCGACAGTCGTGCCCCCCACCTCCCCCCGGGGACCGGCCCTTCCGTGCTAGCGGGGGGAAGGCCACTCTGGAGCAACTAGTCAAGGGAGCCCCACACGTTGGGCTCGCCGAAGCTTCTCCAGGCCTCAAGCTGAAGGAGCCCCCAAGACTCCTCCCGACTGGAAGGGCCCGAGCGCCCAGAGCTGGCCGCGGGACACGGCGAGCAGGCTGAAGGAGCCGGCGCTGCCAGGTAAGCTGCGCGAGGACAGGGTGCGCGGACGCGCGGGGCAGGAGCGCTCGGGGCCGCGGGGTGCCCCGCCAGGAGCCATAGCGGGCCCAGGGCTCCTGGTCATTCCTCTCCGTACTCGAGCTCCCAGTCTGATTCTCTGAGAATGCCTGGGAGCCTCCTAAGGGAGCTCTCACAGGGGTGATGTTTATCATTCCCAGTTCATAGCACGTTTCTTGCCTTTAAACAAAGTTTTACAGAATTTAAAATTCTCCATTGCCGCCTCCTTAGGTCCGTGTCTGACTCTGAGTGGAAAGCACCGGCCAGACTGAAACAGGTGCTGGGAGCTGGGGGTGGGGTGGGGTGGGGGGATGGGGGGTTGGGGGGGGGCGTCCAGAACAGAATCCAGGTGTTTTGCTTTTAAGACTTAAAAGAGTCTGGACAGCAGGTGCTTTCCTGCTGTAATCACCTATCTTCGTTTTCTTGGGCCTCCATTCCTTTGAGGACTTGGGAGAGCTGTCAGAGATTTAGTTCTGTTTGAAACATACAAATATAAACGAGTTAACTTCATGACAGTGTGATCAGAACTTCAGGAATCTGATGTTTCAATCCGCCCCCTATAAGACTAATATCCTCTGATAAATGAGAGGTTTAGAAAGAGGGCCCAGTTTCTCAGCTGGAAATGAAACATTGGGGGCCTTGTGAGCAGGGCATGGGGGGCAGTGAGGTTGCTCTCTACCAGGACCCTCAGATGGTGATATGGTTGTAAATGGAACACAATAATTGGCTTGATTAAACATTCATAGGACACCTACTGTATGCCAGGCCCTGTGCACAAGTCAATTCCTTGCCTGCAGAGGCTTACTGGTATAGAGGGGACTAGAATAATTCTATAGGTAAATGGACTATGTCAATACAGGGTGGCCAGCGGTGAGTTAGGAGTATGCACAGGCTCTTAGGAGCCCAGAGGAACAGGAATCTCTCCTGGCCTAGGATTGAGGGAGTGGGAAAGAGGATGACACCTGAGCTATGAGCTAAAGATTAAAAGAAGAGGCAGGTTAAATGTAAAGCCGACCTTGCCCCAGCCCTGCTTAAAACCCTGCAGTGGCCTCTGCCTGCCCAGGAGGGAAAGACCAAGCTCCCTTACAGGGCAGGAGCCTTCCAAATCCTGGCCCCTTTCTCTCCACCTCAGCTCACCGGCTTCCCATGCCCAAAGTTCTCCAGTCTTACTCTGTTTTGACCTATCGTTTCTCAAAAAGAGTGTTCCCAACTTTCCCCTAGATCAGAATTTCTTAGGGAATTTGTGCAAAATGTGGCTCCCAGGCCCCATTCCCAGAAATTTAAATTGGTAGGTCTAGAGAGGGACTCAGAAATAGCCATTGTAACAAGCCCCTCAGGTGATTTTTATTCATGTTAGAGTTTGAGACACTCCTAGACCTTTCAAAAAACAAAGTCAATTAAAATCATCCTGGGGATGAGCATGGGGGAAGTGGTGGGGGGAGGTTGTGTGTCGGGGGGAATGACCTTTTCACCTTCACTGAGGCGTCTACTACAAGGAGAAGCCAGCACACTTAATTAATTCATAGATTCAAGATCTAATTGTATAAAAGCATCTGCTCTGCGTTTTAGGGAATTGAAGATGTTGGCATTTTTCTAAACACATAAATAGTTGAATTTGTTGGGCTTGGACTATGACATTAGAAAAATTTAAGTTTTCTTTCTTTGTTGCTATTCTCGGCTGGCCATTGTGGCTTTTTTTTTTTTTTTCTTTCCCCAAATGACATACTGTGTGTCTATTTACATGAAAATTTGATTTCATTGCTTTGAGTGAATTTGGCCTCTTGAGGCTTAGAAGAACATCTTGAGGTGTTTCCTTGGGAAGGGGTTGTATTGATGATACGGGCTGTTAAAAGTCCTCCCTCATAGATCAGCTGCAAGGGCAGGGGGTAGGGCAGGAGGACCACTCTTTATAGGGAGGGGAAGAATGTGTTGTTTTAGGAGTGCTTGGGAATAATTATTTCTAAGTCTGGTTTAGTTAGATTTCATCTTGGTGATGTTCAGACAAGTTCATTTGCTCAACCTTGCTTAGAAGGAAGGGTTTATTTTTAGTTTGGGGGTTCTTAGTTTTCAGAGTCAAATTATAAACCACCACCACCACCCTCTTACCAAGAATCCTTTGTTCCAACATCCTTTTCTTCTCGTGAATAGGAGAATAACAGGAGAAAAAAAAAAAAAAACATGTCTGATGCTACTAAGCAATGTCATCAGGCATGTTCTCAGTCTGTGTGGAACTGACTGGACCATTAGGTTAGGCAAGTGGAATAAGCATTCTTTGTCCTTCTTCTCTTACTACGTATGGTGAAAAAAATAACCAGAAGGTGGCTGGTTGAGAAAAACGTCAAAGCAGAAGCAGGGTAATTTGCTTGTCCTACCTGCCACACCCAGGCATAGGCGGCAACAGGTCATTGGAAGGCCTGGGACCAGAGAGGCAAGAATATGGTTGTGAAAGACAGAAATCTGAGCAGGCCCTGGGCAGGGAGAGAACAGAGTCACAGCACACGGGGCGGTGAGGACCATGAAACAACCAGGGGGAGAGGCACCTGTCCAAGGCCGGGGAGGGCAGTTGGAGTCAGTCTCAGGTTCAAGAACCAGGACGCCTGAAGAGGACAGAGGGCCAGATGATCAGATAAACACTGTGGGCCCATGACGACCGAACTGATGGTGCCCAGTGGCTTCCTTTGGAAATCCCGGGAGAAGACAGTTGGAGGTTGCTGGTTTGGGACATTGAGAACACCTGGCTAGGGTGGGAATCTGCCCTGGCAAGGAGAACACAGGTTCTGGTGTGGGTTAGCCTAATAACCTTTAATCCCTATGCCCCAAACGCTGAAGATTTCGTACTTCTACCAAGAATAGTGACCACGCTTAAGACATGGGGCTGCCGCTGCTATTGTTTTGAATCAGGCTGCAGTAATAATAAACCACATTGCTGTGTTTTATGATTTAGGAAGTACTTTCCCATCTGCTCTGATGGTCTCCTCCCGGCGTTCTGGAGCGTTGGAACAATTTCTGCTCTATGCTAGTCTACTCCAGGATTGCAGAGTTCTAGTGGTAATTACTGCATGGCATTCAGGATGCCTCAGAACCTGGCCCCAACCTTCCCTCAGACTCCGTCCGAAGCCACTTCCCCTGCCTGCCCCTCCAGTCTCCTCACAGGCTCTTGTTCAAACCTTGTCCTCTCTCAGAGTGGCTCTTGCCTTCTCCTGCCTCAGGGCCACAGGTCATGTCGTTTTATGGGCACGAAACACCATCCCTTCCCTTTTATTTCTGTCAAAGTCTTACTCATACTTCAAAGCCCAACCCAAATATTCTCTTTTCTGTGAAGCCTACTTCAGCTTTCCACGCTGGAATGAGCAGCTCCCTCCCACGTCCTCCTACTGCGCTGGGTTTGCACTGATATTCCCGCACTCAACACAGGCGGACCTGATTAGAGTTTTGTATGTTCTCTGCTGGATTGTGAGTTCTTGAGTGTTAACATACATCTCTTCATGCCAGGCACTTTCTACTTGCTTTACAAATACCAACTCACTGAATTCTTATAATAACCCCAGGAGCTACTATTATTAGCCACATTTTATGGAAGAAACTGTGGTGTAGAGCTTGGGTACTTTGCCAAGGTCACACAGCCAGTAAGTGGCACACCCAACATTTGAACCTAGTTAGTCTGGTTCCTACCTGTCCTCTTAACCACTAGACTATACAGCTTATTTTATTTTATTTCTGTCATGGTCCTTTAGTGCTTGGCACAATTTATATTTCTGTCACGGTCATTCAGTGCTTGCAGTGATTTGCACGTGGGAGATCAATAATTGCTCATTGACCAAAAGTTAATCACCACTGGCAGGAGTTAGGGAGTAGGAGAGGGAGGCTGGCTATTTTCAAGGAGCCACAGTGATGGGAATGTTCTGAAGCTTGGCCAGTGACAGTCACATGAACCTACACCTGAGATACAATTTCCTAGAACTGGGTATATACATATACACACACAGGTAAGTGTGTGTGAAACTGGGGACATCTGAGTAAGGTCTGTGGCTAGCACCAATGTCTGTCTCCTGGCGTGATTGTGTATTATGGTGACGTACAAGGGGGGAATATGGGTGATGCATGCATGGGATCTCTCTGTATCATTTCTTACAACTGTGTGAATACACAGTTATC